CCATTGTTGGTTGCTCAGTACTTAAACATGGATATATAACTGCAATGCAAATAGATTTCTTTGTCCTAGACAAAACATAATCCCTTGTCTGCATGTCACACATGGGGAAGGAACAGCTTTAAGGGCATTTATATTTTCTATTAGTTTTAGACATGAAAAACAACAATAACAATGGAAGTAAGTCAGGGCTTTGAGCAGTCAATTTAAACTTGCTAATAAAACATATGTCAACTGTGACACCTGGGGCTATACAGAGGTTATTTTCTTATTCAGATTTCTTCTGCCCTCTCACTTTATAATTGTGCTTTGTTTTGGATGCTTGATGTATTAAAATGGTTGTTCAAAGCTTATGAATTTCATGTGTATTTTTGTTTTAGGTTGGTATTTTTGAAAATGAAAAACTTTCTCTCCAAACGGAGATATCATCAGTGATGAATAAATTGGTAGATGCCAGAATTTTAATCAATCAGTTAGATGAAGAAAGTGTAAGTTACATTTTTTTAACCGTTGTAGTATTATAAAATCCAAATGTGACATCATGACTTTGACCTATTGTATTTCTGTTACAGGAGAGGTATAGAATGGATTGTAATACAGCAGTTCAGTTACTACAATGTAAACCTTCAAACTTTGTCTCACACAAACTCAACACAGTAAGTCTAGTTTTGGATTTTACACCTGAATTTTGCTTGTCATAGTTTGTCCATTTTTTTTAAATATTTTTTTTAGATAATGTTATATTTACATTTTGCTCACTGCCACCTTCCTCTGTCCTGTGGGAGATTAGGAATAACAGTCTGAAGGAACATCTGAAACATAAAACAAACAAAGCAGATCTTAATAATTCCTAAACTAAAAACTTTCATTGGAAAATTTTATTTCTCATTACACTTACATTTTACACAATAAGATTTAAATAATTTTCTGAAGGCATGACCATCTGTTTCTCTAAATTATGTATGCATATTATATGCACTTGTGTATAAACTACTTGTAAAAATAGGAAAACCACATGTCATGTTAATCAAAATTTCATCTACAAATTATTTATGTTTATAGACAATTCTTTTTTTATGCTGTTTTCATTGAACTTGAAATAGGTCATGGCATTATGTTTTTATCAATTAAATATAAACACTCTCCAGCCATCCCACAAATGATGTTAAGCCATTTTAATTTTTTTGTAAATCCTTGTGTGATTTATTTATCTAAAATTCAAAACATTTCATTAATGGGTTAAATATTCAAATGAGTCATAAATTGTATGATTAAAATATAGCCACACTGCTGTAACTCCTTTCTGATAACTTTCACTCTCTACATTTTAGCTGCCCATAGATTTGCAGGACAGGCTCAGGCAACACATGACAAGGGAACAAATCATGGCTGCTGAGAATGGTGTCAGCATGCAGGAGGAGCAGAAGCTGATTCGGGTCCCTATGGCAACTTTCCCTCCATGTGCCATGGTGTTTTCCCTCAACCAAAACATCAACAAACCAAGCGATCAGCATAACGAATCTGATACCAGCAAAGGTTTTGTTCCCATGTCCCTCATAACACGTGTGCTGACACAGAGAGAGTCAAGGAAGACTTACCCAAGAATGTTCCTTTGCATGGCATGCAAGAAGGATGTATTTCATGAGGACAAGGGTTGCCAGGTAGATCTATTACCCACTACTCCCAGAAGTGTTGAAATCACATCCAGACCTACAGTGGAGAGAAGCCAGAGCTTCATTCATTCTCTCAGCCCTAGAAACTCTATGAATTCTTTGCGCGGGGGAAACAGTTTTAATTTTAGCAGCAAAGAATACAGCACAAGCACGAGCTTGGAGAATGATTATTGACTTGGTTTAGAAAATGTTTTAATTATCAACTCTTTGGAATCAAAATTAGACCAGTATCTTTTGGTCAGTGAATATCTCAACATTTGAGAGCAAATAAAAAACTGACCATCTGTGGTTATTAATTTATTACATATGTCTAAACTTAAGTCCTGATCTTACAAGATCTTGTGCTGTAATATAAGTCTTCCTTGCACATACTGTTTTAAACCACTCAAACTGCTGTGAACTGCAATACATATTTGAATATGGCTAGAATAAGTCTAAGCGTTGCTAAATATGAAATCCAAAGATTGATTTTTTTAAAATCTCCAAGTGCTGAGATCTCAAAAGTAAAAAAAAAGCCATTGATGACAGATGTTTCACTCCCATCTAGCTCCCACCACCATCCATTCACTCTTTTTGTCATTGTCTACATGATTTTCCCTTGATCAATACTTGTAACCTATTAAATATGTTTCAAAGCAGATATTTATTGTAGTCAGCATTTCCTCTTAATACAAAAGAGGAATTATGTGGTTAAACCTCTTGTAAAAAGTTGGGTTTGGGAAAAATTGAAGTTTTATGTCTGAGTTTGAATCATTTGATTTGAGTTAGTTTACTTTACTTAGTTACTACTGAACATACAGTTTGATATTAATAAATTATTCTACACAATTTAGAACTTAGAAGAGGAGAATTTTTTTTTTTCTTTTTGGATGAAAGACTTATGTTATTAAGTATAGATTGGATATGCTGCTGTTTAAAATTTTAAGCAGTTTATTTGCTCTGCTAATCTGCTGTTTTCAAAAGAAGTGTTTTCTTTATTGTGATTGAAAATCAGATGAATATCCACAAATTTTGTCATCAACTATAGTTTTATTTTTTTCTTGTTTTTTTTTAAAATATAAAAACGTATAGCTGGCTGTGTTTTAGAACTAACCGACAAAATAAATGAAAATAGTTATATGAATAAAAAAAATAATAAGCTTTTGTTTGTTTGTGTTTGCCTCTCCTTTCCATGAACCTTTTGTTCCAACAGATGCATTTGTTCTCACTGTGTTTAACAACAATCAACAGTTTGTCATGTAAAGTTTCACAAAGTATAGTTAGGACCTCTGGGCCTGTTTTCATTTCACAAACTAGCCACAGAACCTTTTCTGTAACAAAAAAAAAGAACAACTCTGAGATGTTTCTTGTAACCAATACAAAATTCACTACTTCGTTCTTGTTAACAATGCCTAGTGAGGGTTAAATCCCCAACATAACTGAAATTTTGTGTACATCCTAAACTAGCCATCCACAAACTCTTAACAACTTTGGTAATCACAGTTAGTTATTTGCTGGAAAATGTTCTTTAGAAGATTGTGGTGCTCCTTGAAAATAAAGAGTTCAGTATTAATAGTAGGAAGTAAAGGTTGATTTTGAGTTAGCTTATACAGTTCAGTTATTGGGTAAGCTTTAAGTTTTATACTAAAGTTTTTGTTAAGGTTTGATCTAGTATTACATTAAGAGAATCATAATAGTTTATCCAAAAGATAACTTTGGGAATAATTTTCTGATCAATTAGTGCCATGTTTTTTTTCCCTTCAATTTGGACACTTATTTTGTGCTCTTTTCTGTCACCTACTTCTAAAAATTGTCCAGATTCAGCAACATACACTACATCTACTATCTTATTTCATGACCATTTATGTTTTAAATGCCATACTAGAGTTACCAATTGATGTGATGATTTAATTTTGTTTTTCATTTCTGAGTATCTGCTCTAATTCATACTTTACTTGCAGTTCTATCTTATCCTATCATAATAACCTTATGTCACATTCCATGTGTGTCATTGTTATGGTATGTTGAATGTTGTGTTTTTAAGCTTATTAACAAGTTCTTAAAGTGGAGAGGCAAATTCATCATGTTTCTATTGGCTAGGCAAAGACATCTAATTATAAAGTGTCAAGAGAGTCTTACTATTTTGTTTGTTTAGCAAAGTAACATGACTGAATAGCATAAATTATCTCTAAATATCTCCAATATGATTTGTGCAATCACCTAACCATATAGCATAAAATTCTGTATATATTTAGAATATTTTATTTGTTAGGCTAAATGCAATGCCTATATAGAATAAAGCTTATGCATTCAAGGAAAATCAATTGAACAGTCACAAACCTTACAATAAATTAGGAAGGTCAATGATAAATAATGCTTCCATGTTATATACTGTTAAGTTCTGCAACACAAAATCTTTCATTGCCATGCATAATTCACACAAATCATGGTTGCCTCTCTTCTTATATAAAGAGAGCTTAGTTGTGAAGGTGCACATTAGTGCCATTGTGATGGAATCATAAGATTATATGTGAGTGTATGTTGTTTATGTAGCTTACAAATATTTTGACTCCTAATACTCAAACTGCCTTTTTAAATGTGAATGGGTTTTTTTTTACATTGTTGTTGGTGCTGTTCATTTAGTGGGAATAATAGCAAATTATTTTGCCAAGAGGTCTGGGAAAAGGATTATGTTTGCAAACTCCCTCCCCCTTGGTGTTTAGAATCACTGCTTTAAAGAACTGTAGATAAAAGTGTTGTAATTAGTATGTCTTGTACTCAGTACATCCAGCTGCACATATTGTTATTGTATATTAATTGGTAATTACTGATGACAGTATTTGTCATGGCTTAAGTTATGAATATATAAATATACATTTGACTTAAAATCATGTTTTCTCCCTAAGATATTTGATTTTGTATTCAGATAATTATTATTTTAGAAAATCGTTAATGTCTTCATACTTATGTAGAATATTAATTTCATGTTTCCTGGGCACCTGATATTAATACTCACATATTAACTTTATATAGAATTTAGCAAGATGTCCTTGGAGACGTAAAGGCACTAGTTGTTGTGCTGGCCACATGATACCCTTGCTAACTCTTTCTCTCCGTAATTATTTTCCACGTTCCTATGGAATTATTAATTTTGTTCATTTGTTTCACTACCCTGTTATGATTTAACTTCAGTAACTTTTTTTGTTATATGTAATCAGGAAATTAGGTCTAGAATTATAGAGCACATGCTCTTTTTGTAATTGAAGTTTATAAAACCAAAAATTAATTTAATTAATGGGGTCAAATCAACGTTGGTATCGTCAGTTAGGAGAGAAAGAGTTAACCCCCAGCCATAGAAACAGCTGAGCTTTATGTCATCTGCCCCAATAGACCACAATGTCTGAAGGGGGAACCTTACCTTTACCCCATCTACTATAGGACATTCTAGTACACTTTAACTATGAAAAAAAAAACAGAAACTGATTCTGGGAAAAAATGGAATATGGGGAAACATAAGTGCTGGCCACATGATACCCTTGTTAACCCCCAACCATAGAAACAGCTAAGCTTTACGTCATCTGCCCCAATAGATTGCAATGTCTGAAAGAGGAACCTTACCTTTACCCCATCTACTATAGCACTTTCTAGTACACTTAAACTATGAAAAAAAAACAGAAACTGATTCTGGGAAAAAATGGAACATGGGAAAAAATAAGTGCTAAATTCTTTTTGTTACATATGATTTGGTGGCCCAGTTAACAAAGTTTATGAGTGCTAGTTTTGTTAGGAAGATTTCTGAGTCCACCCAGCTGCATGGGCTACCTGAAAGTTGTTGAGAAAAATGAAAATTGTTTTGTCCTAATTAAATGTTGACTGTTTGCTACAGATTTAGATGCTGTTTACTATTTATCTGTCCTATAGATCCTTAGGTCTTAAAGTGGAAGCTAAACCAGTTTAATAAACATTCTGAACTGTGTGTATATAATGAAATAAATTTACTGACATTTTATGTAGATATATGTTTAGCATTTCTAATAAACACATTTGTATCCATATAAAAGAGTAAAATTTATATTCTTGATGTTTATTTCTTTCTATGTTGTTTACTGTGTCTTATCCATTTTTTACAAAACAGCTTTTTAAAATGTTTTTATTGTAATTTTATGGTTTCAGAAAAAAAAAAGTTTCTTATTAATACTTTTCTCAAATTGTTCTGAATAAATTGCTGGCTAAATGGTAAAGCTCTTGGCTTCTGAGATTTAGAACTTTTTAAAGATGTCCACCGTAATAGGTACCCACATTAGCCGGAGAAAATGAATTAATTTGGTCATTGTTTTGACCACATGACATTTTCTTTGAGTGCTACATGAATCATAAAGTTCAAAATTGGAACATTCGTTTACTGTAATCCTCCTAACTTCACAGTCCAGATACCATGCAAGAAGAAGTTGATGGTCAATTACTAAGTGCAAGGACTGATGATGCTATGTCTCTCCATTAATCCAGCATTTGGTGAATGTGCATAAGTAAAAATAGGCCTTGGTGTTTATTACAACTGAACTCTAATCATGTGCATGTGTTATCCATGAGTCTCTTCTTTCATGTGAAAAGACCACTAAAGTTTGAGTAAAACCACATCCTCCAACCATCCTTTTAATATTTTCATTCCCAATGTCATTGTGTTGACTTTTGTTCTTCTTTGGCATCTAACTTCACAAGTAGACACTTTGTTTCTCTGAACAATCAAGTACACACTGCAATGGCTCTCTGCACTCTAGCTTCTATCATATAGTCTTCCTTTTTTTTTTTTGCATTCTTATCTAGGTGTGTTTTCTCTCCATGATAAGTTCAACTATTTTTTGATGAATGACAGCGTACACCTGGTCATGGATAGATTGACGGTATATTGCCTAAAGACAAATTAGGTTCTAGGTAAAAAAAAAAAGAAAGATATTGTTAATAAACTAAAAAGCTGTCTTAATGACAATGACAAAAAGTGTTGGGAGTCCATATGAGGAAGAAGGGATGAATGCAAATATATTGGTAGAGTTGCTGTTGACATGAAATGGTAAAGACTTGTTTTGGTGCTATTGACTAAAAATATCTTGTGAAACATTTGGGTTCAGTAATTGTTTGTTTTTTTCATGAGATATTCTGTTTATTGTTAAACGTCTCTGCATTTGACATTGTTGGTTTTCCAAATTTTCTCAATCTTGAAGTTCTAGTTAATGTTTACAAAGCTTCTATCAACTCACTCTGTCTGTCTGGTAAAAAGTTTCCATGTTATTTCTCTTACACCCAATCTCTGATCAAGCTGAAATTGTGCACAATTATTTCTTTTACCTGACAACACAAGAATCAATAAAAAAAACAATTAGTTAATTAACTATGGGTAATTTAATTATTCTGTTTGGTATCTTGAACAAGGGAAAGATATTGTACTTGTCTGAAGTGGTGTATAAGCTGAATTAGTCCCCTTTATAGGTCATCTTCTGAGGCTTAGTGAACACAACATGAAATAGAAACAATTTATATCTATATGATCTTCCATGTTCATAACCTCTTCGTTAGCAGAGTGGTTACAGTGTTGGCTCAAATTCAGGTCATTCCCCCTTTTTTTTAAATACATTTTATAAGCGATCATTCAGATACCCCCTTTTATCTCCCCCTACCCCTTTCCAGCTGGTCCTGGGCTGGTACAGACAAGTGATAGGATCATAGCGTATTCAGAAAGATAAAAACATGAAATTCTGCTAAACAAATAACAATTGGTAAAAAAATATTTCTTATTGCACAGATTTATTATTGTTAGTCTAGATCTATTAATTAAATTACATGACTGATCCAAACTAATTGATACACTTTATATAAGCTTTGTTTTTTTAAAATTATATTTTTGGGGCATTTTGCTTGTTTTTTAACTGCCCTTATTATTTTACATCCAATTGTTATTGGATGGGCTGTGTAGCTATAACTACTGCTCTCCTCCTGACAGACTGAAAGACAGACCTTATTATTATAAATTGGCATAAAGTTTATCTTGAAAATCTTTTTTTAGCGGCATATATAAAATTTTAGAACAATTATTTGCCTGCATAAAAATCTGTAATCTATAAAAAAAAAAATTAATTAAAAACAGTCCAGTGATGGCACATTTAAGATATATGTTTTAACTAAGCATTGATAACTTTGTTTGGATGGTGGATAACAATGGGCAAGGGTTTTATTTAAAACTATCAGAAGCACTTTTCAGAATCAATAAATACTAGTAAATTAAAGAATTAGAATGACTCAAAAAATTATGCCAGTGCCATTTTTATATTTTTGTTCATGAATTTACAAAGATTCTCTGATCTAAACATCTTGACAGGTGTATTTGTTTAAAATGTTTGAACCAACATAAATATTTAAAGTTGTTAAACATTGATGATGATGTATAAATACATTGTTTGAATAACCATCGGCCAGTGTAAAAAGTAATGTTAATATGTGTATATAATATACATTTGTACTTTTGATATTGCATATCAAACATGTATATTGATATAATGTTAAGTCTAGATTAACACCATTTTGATGTCAACTATAGATATAAAATTATGCTATCAGCAATTACTGTAATTTCAAGGGTTTTATTGAAGGTTTGGTGCGTAGTAGATGATTTTGGCTTAGGCAAAAAAGAATTGGGATGGCTTAACTTAGGAGATACACAAATGGATTGGCTTGGCCTAGGTATAGCTGAGTAAAAAGTAACCAAAAAAAATCATGAAAATAATATCAGTTTTTAATGTATTACAATAAAATACTACAATGTGTAACAAAAATAATTCTTGCCACTAGCTACTCAAATAAAAGAGACTAAACAGAAGATGGCTAAAAGATTATTTCTAGCATATGTACAGTACAATTTCCCAAACAAATGTATAATTATGTTCAATAAATGCCTCACTCTATAATGTCTGAGGGATATAATAAATAAATTTAAAAAAATGTGAAGTTTCAATAAATAAGTTTGAATGTTCTGTTGGCGCTGGACCAAATCTGATCAATGCTCAAATATGGCAAGCCTTTCAATGCAAAGAAACCAACTCTGATTAGCACCAATGCGATAAACTGGTGACACACATTATTAGAAGACCTAAAATCCGTGGGCGCCATCAGCTGTATTCCATAATAGTTTATCAATTGTAAAATTGCAACCATGTTGTATTATCAAAATTTCTTGACGACTTTGTCATTATTTATATTCTTTAGTCAACAATGAATAAGAAATTGTTCTTCACTAGCAAAATGCTTTTCAAAACATGAGGCATTGCCTATAATCATATCAGATACATGTTTTATTACAATTGAAATTACTATTTACTTATAAATTTAAATATATGCCTTCAATATCAGGTTTTAAAAAAAAAAGAGAAATTTGTGTTTCAAAATAATTTTTCATTAACAAAAGGAGTGTGGTGGTAAAGCACTTGAAGACTATTTTATTTCAGATGTTCTGGGACTCACCTAACTACCTGACATTAGTTGGGGGAAAGTAAAGATAGTTGATCATTCTGCTGGCCCCAAGACACCTTCATTAACCAATGAATAAACACAAGCTTTGCAGTTTTTAAAGGTGAACTATACAACAGTAGCAGACAGATGGTTGAAAATGCTGAGATATTAAGATTTATTAACTTGAACTCTTACACAAGGTTAGAAACAAATCTGAAATGAAGACAGAAAACACATACAAAGTAAATAATAGAAACATTTAACAGCAAGTATCACAGACAGCAGACCTTCCATGCAAGGTACCAAAAGTATTGTACAGTGGTCGAATAAAGGTGAGAAGCATCAATGGACAGCAAGTGGGTCCTTGAACTAAGTTGAGTAGGAAAGAGGTAGGAGAAATACACAATCACATAAGGTTAAACAGCAGCTACAGGTAATACAAACTGCACTCTTTAACTCTCTCTTCTCTCAATGACATCCACAATCTGGTTTACACATTTGTATTTTTTTAAACAAATTATTGTAAAGTGTGAATTATGTACAGATGTTTGTTAATAGTACAATGTAAATAAACAGTTTTACTATTTTGACATTCAACACACAAAAATAGATCATTTAGTTGAAAACTAAAAAATAAGTTATAATTCTAAACAACATATTGCTATAAAATTTGTAATTTTAAAACATTACATAATAATCAAAGTTTGTCGATTTTACTGAAAAAAAGAGAGGGTAAAACTGTTTCACAGGTTTATATTTTGTAATGATTTTATAAGAAGAGACTGCTGGGTTCAGATTGAATGTGAAAACTTATTTGTATTCTACTACTAATGTCTAAGTTATTGAGATCTCTCTCTCTCTCTCTCTACATATAAGTTCATTATTTAGACAGATGTGGCAAAATATGCAGGTCATAACTGAGGTTGCAGCTTAATCTTCAGAAGTGAAGACAATGCCTGATATAGACATTTCTTGAAACAGATTAGTTCATTGAAGTGATATAAATATTTACCAAATAAAACAGAGAAATGTTGAGTTGAAAATTAAGTATGTGCAGGAACTAAAAAAGAAAATGCCTGCATAATAATAATACTGTTTAAAACATCTGTGTCACTTTTAGAACTTTTGATTTATTATGTGAAACAATGTAAGCCTATTGACTCTAAGATGTTTTAGTTCTTTCAGAACAACAGAGTTACAAATGTAAGGTCCAACCCTGAACAAAAACTTCTTAACCTAATTCCATCCAATAATACTACCAGAACTGAAAATTAGAACAGTCAAAATTACCACAAGGAGGGACGACAAGATATCCAGAGTCATGGTGGGGAAAAGAATACAAATAACTAGCGAATCACATATGGAGAATAAATGGAAAGGAAAATTAAAGTGGGCTCGATGTATGGGGAGGGTGGAATAAAATAAGCTGTACACATAATGCATAATGTACCTTTCTATGTAAGCTTAATAAAATTGTCAGAAAAAAAACAGCAACCTGTGAAGTATTCAAAAAATTTGCTTACTAAATAACACAAACTGGTCTAGCATAATTTCAGACATTTTCTTACGAAATTGTAAATTGCATATAATAGTCACCTCAGGTAAATACATCCAAACATATCAATACAGAGCCAATAAATGATTAAGATGGTCTAGTAGAAATGTACCTAGTATATCTCCCTTAGTTGTATAAATTAACAGTACAAAACAAAAATCTAATTTTTCAAACTACTAAAAACAAAAGCTGTAAAAAACATGAACTTGTGATCATGGCAATAATTCTGCATTTAAATAACAGTTGTACATTAACTAGAACACTACATGTATAGATACATAACAAAGGTGCAACAAACTGACAATGCCACCATTATTTTAACTGATTATGGACTCCTTCAAGAAATGAAAGATACCATATTTCTTATCCTAAAACTTACAACAGGATTATGTAAGGAACCAGCA